TCCATTTGTATTTGTTATTTTATCATAATTTTCATTTGTTTAAGACATTTAGTTCATTTTAGAAAATCAATATTCACAATTATCATAATCCTTTATTTATTTGTCTTTTATCAAATAGGAGTTAGGAAAAGTAGGTTAAGATTAAAGTATAGTTCTCGTGAGAACGATAATCCGGACTCAAAGGTCCACTATATTACTTGCTATGATATCGTACACTTGTGATACAAAAAACGCAAAATAATACATTTTAGCTCCAATTTCTAAAATACCACGAGATTCGTCAACTAAAATTAAAAATAAAGAATCGCCAATGTCTTTGATAGTAAAATCAATAATTTCAGCAGCAGCAACACTTAAAATATCCTTTTGAGTGGCAGGAGAAGTTAATTTGAGATTCTGGGGAGCCTTTTTAGTAGTAACGACCTTAATCTCATCAGTGTGATTGGCCAAAGGATACAAGAAATTGTTCATAGTGGGACTCGTTTGAAGTTTTCGAAAAATTCGGGACTCATACTGAAATTATTTCTTTATTTATTTATATATTTATTTTTCTTTTTGTTTATTTAAAGAGAAGTGTAAATTTATCATTGCACAGGACTTTAATGGAGGAAATGGACGTGAGGACCCAAATGTCAAAATTGAAATGATAGGGACATTTTACACCAATTACCCATTTTACTTTATCAAAAGATGTTATAGACTTATAGTAGATGTCAATTTAAGAAACTAAAATCTTTAAATAAGATAGAAGGTTAGCAGCCTCTCTATTAGAACATGCCTTCAAACAGATAGGAGAAAAGTCGGCACCTATTAGCACCGAGCAATATTAAAGTTGAAACTGAAACTAAAATTTTGACTATGTCATTTGATCATGTCCAATTCTATGTACCAAGATGCACTATCCGTATAGGACTGTATTATTTGTAATATGTATGTATTCTGATTTACCTATATAAGTATCTGCAAAACTAAGGGTTATGATGGCCTACTGTTCGTCAACTGGCTTGTGAAGTAGACCCTTCCAACTATGGCTTTCTGACTTATCATCCTCTTCTTCCATGCTGCCTCGATCGGTGGCTGAGAGCCCTTTAGGTGACCCTCCCGGATGCAGAGGGCTTTGTGGGGAGCCAGATTGTGCAACAACAGCCTTGCATGGATCTTGCGTTAACCGCGAGCAACTCGACACATCAGTTGATGAAGTAGGAAGCTTACGGATATGAAGCCTGTATTTCTGAAATCACATACACATTCTCATCATACCGACCCTAAATTCATTGGAAATAAGACTTAGATCATGTATGGTCAGATGTGAAAGTTATTTATTTTGACACTAACACAAAATGTACTTTTAAAATAAGTTACTTTTTTCACTTTAAAGTAAGAAAAAGTTACATATCTATATAGACATATATCGGGACGGATCCAGGAAAAAATTGGACACGGGCTAAAACGCAAAAAAAAAAAAAAAAAAAAAAAATTTAATTTTTTTCACTTAGGATTGGAGTGAGGGCTGTGGCAGAGGCTGCCTGTCCCTGGATCTGCCCCTAGACATATATAGAAACAAAATTCTCGTGATAACCAGAAACGTGAAGCGGAATGGACTGACTGTGATAGTATACCTGCAAATGGCTTTTCACTTCATCATTGGTCAGGCCATCTACTTTCATGTGTTCTCTAATTTGCTTTGGTGTAGCCACTGAGGAAAACATAAACACACAATTAAAATCTATATAAAAGACAATTTTGATAGAGCTTGCTACTGTAAATTACACAAAAACTTCTTTATCAAGAACTGTAAGAGAAGATCAATATATATTTCTTATGAAAATTGATGCCACTCATCCACCATTACATTTATATTTTTCTCCTGGTGTTTGACATTAAGTTTTCGTGATTTTAAGTTAATAATGAACAGGTGGTCTAAATTAGAAATCTTAAACTTTGGAATTTCTTGAATTAGCAAAACTTAGGAATACGGAATACTACGTAGCCTGTTTGGTACCAACAATTGGACTATATAAGGGGAAGTCAAAAAACTAAAATCTTATTTACTTATGCACCAAACATACCTTTAGGATGTGTTTTTGATATGTGGGGTTAGGCGAGATAGTTAGTTTATTTTTCTTTTTAATATTATCATACATTCATTCCACTTCACAAACCATCCATTGACGTGCATACTTCTCGATTTGTTCATAGATTACACTATTTACAAGCTCCAACAACAGCAGATGTGCAATCAACTAAATTTCTATGAAACAATTCACTGCACTGAGGTAGGAAAAAGAAACAAATTAAAATCTTAATTATTGTATTGTTCAGTCTAATCTCATATTTCACACCAAACATAACCTTTGAATACTGAACAGAATCACACAATAAAAGTGAACAATGTTTTATTCTATTTTTCTTCCGTGTTTACTTCTACATTGCACTACTTGCAAACCTCAACTCAATAGGAGTGCAATCAAAAAATTTCAATGCAAGCATATGATCACTTCAGACCACTAAGACTGAAAATGAAGCTTAAAATCTTACTAATTTTATATTTTAGTTCAGTCCATTATTGTACACCAAACATGACCTTAAGACGCATTTGGTTACACTTAATTTTATTTTTCTTTCTAATATAGTATGCCACTATTCAGTCTCAACCAAACAATTCATAAATGTATATACTTCCCTATTTATTTCTAGATTGTAGAGTTAGCAAGCTACAAGAAACAAAGCACTTCACCTCATTACATGGTAACATTGTCTAACCAACGCAACTCCTACCTATCAATCGCGCTTTTAAAAGCTTAAGCTGTCGTAGAAGAGCCACACGTACTCATCTAAATAGTGTCATCAACTCATTCACTCACTTGTACACTGAGTATTTTTTTATCACACATCTAAAACGTGCACATTTTTTTTAAAAGATAACAGGTAATCACCTTGTGCACCTCCAAGCTGATGGAGTGCACTGACGAATCTCATGTGCAACTCAGGGGACCAACACCTTCTCTGTTTCTTCTGCAGCTGGTGTTGCTGCTGTGCCCTACAATTACCAGAAATGGACAGGGATAGACTGTGAACTGGCATAATCATCCCCTTCTCTTCTTCAACAGTTCCATTACAAGGTTTCTGAAATGGAACAAATTTGTTCCCCTTTCCATGGCTATTCTCTTCTTTGTTATATGTCTGAAATCAAATATCCCATTACAAAAATAAATAATAATTATTACAATGGACAAACATTATTGTCAACAATATTATCTAAAAGATTATGCAGTCAGAGACGAGACAAATTTATTTGATTAAATTGTCTTCAATATGTTGTTATTTGCTTAAAATTTGACTTCAACACACCCCTCATGTAGAGATGGCAGCGGCGCGGGCTTGCCCCTTTCCTGCCCTTTTTTAAAAAAAAAATTTCCAGTTAAAATACAAATTCAAAATTTTAAAATTCAAAGCAAATAATGCCCAAACTATATCAATATCCAAAGCAAGCACTCGAAACAAACAATGTCCAAAACAATTTTTTTTTTTTTTCTTCATGGAGCGGGTTGGGCAAACCGTCGAGGCGAGGTGGGGTGGGGTGGGTTTTTTTGCCATCACTACCTCATGTATAGGCCATATATATTTTTATTTCAAGGTCTAACAAGTATATAAATTTTCATAAATCAGTACCTATATGACTTGAACTTTTTGGCATGAATGTTCCATCTTAAAAGGTCGACCAAATTAACCTTATTCAAAAATACAAAAGTTTGAAAATACAAAAGTATAACCTTATTCGAAAAAGTAAAGCAAGCTAGGTTTTTTTTTTCGACATAAGATTTTACACTTAACAGAACTCACGACATTTATGTTATCTAAAACACAAATCTATTTGTTTAAATTCTCATTCAATAATTATTTCTTTAAAAACACAGATTATATGATAGAAATAACAAAATAACATTGAACAAATCTTACTAATTTTTGGTGCAAAATGGAGTCTTGATTTCTGATATCAAAATTATTCCCATCGTGAACCGGGGTGCTCCACAGCTGAGCAGAACTCATCCAATTCTTCTTGTCAATGAAATCATTTGACCTTTTCATCCCTCCATTTTCCTCATAATTACTCTTCAATGAAAACTCCATCACTGGCTCCACATCTTTTCCCTTCCACTGTAATCCTTCCTCCTTCAATATCTCAATTGCTACAAAAATTCAATAACCCACAAAAAATATTCACTATTTTTCTCAAAAAAAAATTAACTCTTTGAAAAAAATGCAAAAAATAAAAATAAATTACAACTATACCATCCTTTAACAGGCTCATTGAGTAAGGTAGTTCTCGCTTGAAAGCATCAATTTTTGACATTTCTAGCTCCAAAGCATGAACATAAAATTCCAGCTTCGATAATTTCTTGGAAAAATCATCGATGAATGAAACTTCTTTAAGAATTTCAGAAATTTTCTTTGGAACAGTAATTGGAAACACCATACTCAAATCATCATTCATTTTAACTCTTTTTTCAAGATTCTTTTTTCTTTTTTCAAATCTTTTCCCTATGTCTTGTAGATGTATTTGTTTGTGTTCGTGATCTTGCACAAAATAAACATGCATGGAGAGGCGGCGGGGGTGGGTGGGGTGTCTGATATATGTTTGTTGAGACTTGAAAGGGGTGAAAAATGATAAAAAGTGATTGAGGAAAAATGAAAGAAATGAATAGTGGGGACATGTGATCTGATTCTTCCAACAAAAAAGTTTGTTTGTTTTACAATTTCACACATTCGGATTCCACGTCGCATATTTCGGTTATTTGCCAAAAGAATCTTTTTTACTGTCCAGTTTGGTTAAGCTTGAAATTTTTTACTTATAAGTAGATTTTTAATTTTAATTTTAATAATTATTATTTTTTATTTTTTGGTATGTTCAGTGGAGTTGAAAATAAGTAATTCTTTCCTAAGTTTTAGGTAAGACACCATCTTATCCACAAAACAAATTTCAATCTGCATTTTTACGGTTGAACTATAATTTAAAGAAATTTAAGCTTTTCTTTTATTTGCACAAAGTGTTTTTGTTTTAAATTTTATTTATGTCAAAATTTATTTTTCATTCACAGAAGAGAACAAATTAAATCGATCCACTTTATTAACTATGAAAAATGCTTTTAATTTGCATTTTTTCAAACCCTCGTTCGATCTCCATTATTTTCAAAATATCTTATTTTCAATTACACTTTCAACAATAAAATAATATTATACGTAAATTCAATTTTTTTTCTTATTTCTTAACCACACATTCTTCATCGAATACATTGTATGCTGGGGATTTTGTACATTTTACTGAAATAGATTTCGTAAGAAAACCAAATATATTCAATCTAAGCTGGTCTTTCACTCCTACCTGCGAATCTTCCACAATTTTTACAACATAAGCGAGTTCCACCCTTTAGAAAGAATTGAAGATTCCACCTCGAGAAAGCGCAGGCATCAAATGGCTTTTCTTTCCACTTCTTCAATAACTATCATGCAAAAAGTATGTACCAAGGGACTCATTCATCAACTCTCCATCATCAGTTGTGGTACACAATGTAAAAAATTTATTATTGGATCTCTTGTTGGGAAAAATCGACATTCATAAATCAAATTCTAATAACATACATTTACGTTCATGAAATCGAACAAAATTTCGACTTACCAAGATCGAATATGAGAATAGAAACGACAAATGCATGAATATGAATTTGGACGAGATAAGAGTAGAACTCTTTGTTCTTAAGACGATTATATCCTAGACGGGTGTTAACGGTTTTCCGGCATGCGTCTCTCAAGATACAACAATCACAACCTGTGATAGGAGCATTCCAAATTACATAAACCAATGAACCTTACCGGTGTTTTAAACTATGTTTATATAAAACCCGACTCAAAGTAAATACATGAATTATTTAAAGTAAATGTACATTATGTGATAATGCAATCATGAAGATGAATGAATAATTAAAATTCAATACATATAGGGTCTATATATAGTTTTTAAAAATGTTTGTCTCAAATGACACAACCTAACAAAATGACACAACTATTGAAATTAATAACTTCAAAAATCATGATTTTTCATATGAAAAGACACACCTTTTAGCCAAACGATTTTAGAATATTTCATAATATTCTACACAATTTTTCAATAATTTCATGTATTTAAGTGACTTAAATTCGGTTTAATTTCTCATTCACCAATTAACGATTTTCGCTTAAATTAAAGAAGAATAATGCTATTTGTACAATCACTGTGTTGTCAAGATCTGTTTGATTGATTTAAAAACAGTTTTTAAATAAATGATGTAGATTTTGCCAACTCATGATTGTCAACAAAAGCTGTCAACCTACATATAACATAGTTCATCAAAAAATTGGTCAAAACCAATTTTCTATACAACGTTCGAACCTCTTTGCTCTTAGAAGACTTACCGATGAAATAGCATTGACAGATGCCTACCTCATCTTCTTAATCACACCATCAATGGATTATGGGTTTGGTACTTATGCCCGTTTGGCATAACTTTTGAAAAGTCAAAATGAGCTTTTAAGATCAAAAAGTTGCTTTTGGACTCATTTAACTAATTTTATGAAAGTACTTTTGATAGTTAGAAAAACTTTTAGAGAAAGTTGGTCCAATGCAGCTTCTTCTAAAAATACTTCTGAAATAAGAAGTACTTTTCAAAATTAGATTCCAAACAAAAATTAAGATAATTTCCTCCAAAAACTCTTCTACTGGAAGCAAAGTCATGCCCAACGGGCCCTTAGTTTAAAAAACTTCTTGTTGCGGTGAGAGCACGAGACAAAGTGATAACTTTTGAGGAGCTTCACAATAAGCTTGTAGAATACGAATTATTTCTCAAGCGAGAGGAAAATACTCAAATAGTGAAATCCCTGGAATTTCACTGCCATTGTTAGAATTTGGGTTTGACTCGAATTCTTTGTTGAAGATAATTGAGATATCTAATTAAAGTGCACATCAATTGGAATCATATTTTGAAAGCAATTGAAATCATATTCAAGTTTACTTGGTGAATTCTAATTGAAATTCTATTTGAAAGTCCATTGGGAGTAAGAATTTGTATTGGACTTGAAGAAGATTTTGGAATGAAAAAAAATCCTTGGAAGACAATTTGGACAGAGATGGGCACCAGGTGCCGGTAGCGGCGTCGCCCACCTGTTTTGCCCCTGATCGATTTTTTTCTGTCCTTTTCCATTTTAGACTCCATTTTTTGCATTCTACTTCATCTACAACTCTACTATAAGGGTTTGAATATCCACCAATTGTTCCTTATACATAATTGACTCTTCATTATAATTTAGTAAAAAGTTAGAAACATTGTAAACACATAATCTTTATATTTTTTTTTCCCATATTATAATAAAATCTTCATTCTTTGAAAAATTACATTGTTCTTATGATCTTTACTTCATGTCGTGGCTATAATATCTTATTTTCTCACAACAAATCGATATTAGAGCATTCCAATCCATAACAATTGGTATAAGAGCTTTTGGTGTTGAAATTCTTGGAAAGATCGAGGTTTTTTGTAAAGGCAATAATGAAGTATGATATTTCACTATTAGACCGCAATACAATATTCTCTTTGTGACAGGAAAAGATACGATTGGTACTCGCTCATATGAATTTGGACGATATATCGTTGGGATTTGACAAGATGCCCACAACTTAGACTATGGAGGAGAAACAATGGAGGGATCAAAATGCCCTATCTCAATTACATCTTCATCTTTCAAATAATGTTTTTCAAGACGTTTTGAAGGAGAAGTCAGTCATTGCTTTATAGTTAAAATTGGAACAATTATGCACGACGAAGAGTCTTACTAGCAAATTGCATGTGAAGCAACGTCTATATTCTCATCGTATGACAAAAGGTACATCTTTGGAGGATCACCTAACTACTTTTAAAGAAATCATCGCTGATTTGGAGATTTTGGAAGTCAAATATGATGAAAAAGACCTGGGATTGATTTTGTTGTATTCATTGCCCGCTTTTAGAGACACGATAATATATAGTCGTGATACTCTTACCATCGAAGAAGTCTACGATGCTCTATATTCAATGGAGAAGATGAAGTATCCGGGGATCATGAAGATGGTCTCATTGTTCACGGTGGTCGTTCAATGGGCAAGTTTAAATCTAACTTCAAGTTTTATAATTATTGTAAGAAAAATGGACACTTGGTAAACGATTGTTATAAGTTGCAGAATAAATCAAAGTCAAATGCAAATCAACAATCATAAACTTTAAGAGAAGCAAGTATAGCAGAAAATCCTAGCAGTGATGGAAAGCTTCTACTTATGTTCGACTAGAATTCCAAACCTGATAAGTTTTGATTTTAGATACAGCTTGCACTTTTCATATGTCACCAAATCGAGAATTGTTTTCAATATATGAAAAAGTGTCAAAAGGTGTTGTAATGATCGGTAATTAACAAACATTGTCGGATAGCTGGTATTGGTCCGGTCAAAATAAAGATGTTTGATAGGACGGTTAGAACACTTGATGTAGTGAAACACATTCCAAATTTGAAGAAATTTTTTATCTCTTTAAGTACTCATGATTCAAAATGGTACAGGTAAACTGTTGAAGATGGAGTTCTGAAGGTTATCAAAGAAGCCCGTGTTGTGATGATGAGACATAGAAAATCCTATTTATATATCTTGCACGGTAATATAGAATTTTCGAGTGATAGGCATATTTTAAAAATTCAGGTGGATTTAGAGTTGGCTTATGTACCGTTAAAGTCTAATTTTGGGTCTTCTTCTAAGAATGCATCTCAGTTGAATTTTAAATATATGGGTAAATCCGTCTTGCCACTATTAACGATAGTGTCATCGTATTCAATTGCTAGAAATAGACCGTCTTGCCACCATTGGAGTTGTCTTCTGCATCGTTGGAGTCAAATTTTGGGTCTTCTTCTAAGAATACATCTCAGTTGAATTTTGAATATATGTGTAAATCCATCTTGTCATCATTATTGATGGTCTCATCATATTCAATTGCTAGAAATAGACCCATTTTTTGCCATAAGGTTCCACGAAGGTACAATTATGCTAATTTTGTTGATGGATTGAATGCAATTAAGGGTGATGATTTTAGCTAAGATCTTTCTTTTGATGCATTCAGTTGTCATCTGTTACGTGGCTTATTTCAACCTTGTTTGGTGGTCATTAGATTACTTTTGTCCTTAATTGGGGTAGCAGAGGTAGAGAATATTTCCAGTTGGAATTGTTGATGGAGAAATTCGTTTTTGTTTTTCATTAAAGAGTTCAAGTTTATTCCTTGTGGTGGAGATTTTTTTGAAGTTTTTTGTTCGTTGCAGTAAAATTTGTGTCAAGGTAGAGATTGTTAGAATTTGAGTGTAACTCGAATTCTTTGTTAAATATAACTGCGAGTTCTAATTAAAGTGCACATTAATTAGAATTCTATTTGAAATGCAATTGTAAATCTATTCAAGATTATTTGGTAAATTCTGATTGAAGTTCTACTTGGAAACCCATTAGGATTAGAATTTTGTGTTGGACTTGAAGATGACTTGGAATGAAAAAAACATTTCTGTAAGACGATTTGGACAGAAACAGGGAGGTGCTGGGATGCAGCGCCTAGTCGCCACCCACGAAAAAGTGGGTAGAGAAGCTAGCGCCACTTCCTACCTATTTTGCCCCTACGCAATTTTTTTTTCCTTTTCCGTTTTGGTCTCTATTTTTGGTATTTTACTTCATCCACAACTCTACTATAAGGGTTTGAACATCCCCTAATTGTTCCCTATATATAATTGACTCTTCATTATGATTTAGTAAGAAATTAGAAATATTGTAAACACATAATCTTTGTATTCTTTTTTCATATTATAATAAAATCTTCATTCTCTGTAAAATTACATCGTTATTGTGATATTTACTTCATGTTGTGGTTATAATCCCTTATTTTCTCACTATTAGAGCATTCCAGTACATAAAAGCCATGCTACCTGATGAAACTAAAGCAAAAATGGGAACCAACAAGGGAACAGAAACTATTAGTCAAAACGAAATTATGGTGGATCTGGAGGATCTAATCAAGTAGAAATCCAAAAAGTGTCAAAGAGCTGCACAAGTTATGTTTCAAATTCTTAATTGCAACTTGCAACTCATTTTTTACATAGAGATCATTAGAATTTGGACAAGGCTATTTCTAGAAGAATTATAGCCCTGTGAGTTAGATTCCAATGCATTTTGAATCACCTCAATCGAATATCGAGAGACAAAGTTACGATAAAAATATTGACAATTGTTCAATTGCTGCTCGTCTGTCGCTGGCTTGGCACTCGAGCGATGAGTCGACGTTTCAAAATCTGTTTTGCTTCAAACACTTGGTTTTTCAATCTTTTTTCGTCCCAAACACTTTTCTCTATATATACCTACCCATGAATGTCCAACAGTGTGTTGAATCACATTTATTCCATTGAGATTATTCATTTGAAGATCTAAAACATTAATTGATTCCAAAATTCAACCACCACATATTACTTGATCCATAAATTCATCTAAATCATATTTTGTTGATCAAGTCATATTGTTTCATATAAAATCATAGATCAAAACACATAAGATCTTTTGATCAAATATCAAAACCATTTAATACATCGAAGATAAATTGATACCAGAGATCGTGAGTTATTGCAGAAGCACAAATTCAGGATGGCTAAGGTGAGGTACCAGGAGTTGGGATCTGGAGTCAAGAGCACGTTGTCCAGGAAGGCTAAGGTATAAGTCAGGAGTCGAATTTGTTTTGAATGAGCACACATCCAATAGGATAAATGAAAATTGCAGAAATTGAGGTCAGAAGTTCTACATGATAGACAAGTCTGGACCGTACTTTAAGTTTGCTTCTATTTATAGTGGATTATTGATTGGAAAAGTTTCCGGAGTTTTTACCCAGTTGAGGTTTCTCTGTAATCATCTTTAGTGTTCTTTACTATTTTAATTATTGATTGTGATGTCAATTGGGGTTTTTTCTTGATCATTTTTGGTGTTCTTTACTACTTTAATTATTGATTGTGGTATTCAAATTTAGGATAAATTGACTTGTTTGATCTAACCATCTAGAAACAATTAAAAAGTGACTTGTTTTTAATTGTGTAATTCCGCACGTTGGTCTAAATAATTTAAAACTTTCAAAGATGATTGCAATTCCATATCTGCATTTATTACGTCCCTTGGTTCTACACCAATCTCATGGTGTTCTAGGAAACAACGGACAGTTGCAAAGTATTCTACAAAAGCAGGACACTGCTCAGTTGCATCTGCTACTATGAAAATCTGTAGGCTAGTCAATCTTCTCCAAGAACTTCACATTCCACTTACCAAGGCTACCTATCTCTGTGTGAACACAGTGATTCATTCCAACGTGAAACCCATCAAGCTTCACTATCACTTTGTTTGTGAGAAGGTCGCTGATGATTCTTTACTTGTTTTGCACGTCTGCACTCAAGATCAACTAGTAGATATCATCACAGAGCCTATGGCTAAGATTGGTGTCTTCAAAAAAGCCACACCTTGCGGGGCAGATTAAAGGAATATTCTTCCTTCGTTAAACCAAGCAATATTAAGGAAGAATCTTCCAAAGCAAGTGATTCACAGTGATTTGTCTACATAATTAACATCTCTAATAAGCTAATCACCAGTGTAATTCTTCCCAGATCTTAAGAAAGTGTAGCCAATTTATAATTCTTCGATCTGCAATTTTTGTATATAAATTCAGTCACAAACAGAAAATAAATTACAAGTTCCATTTCCAAAAACCAACTAGTTTATAGTATTCTATAGCATACATTGATCAAAAAATTTCCTATTTTAATTTATTAAAAGCTGTTACAGTAGATGTAAATATAAGAAACTAACATCTTTAAATAAGATAGAAGGTTAGCAGCCTCTCTTTTAGAACATGCCTTAAAAAAAGATAAGAGAAAAGTATGCACCTATCAGAAACGAGCAATATTAAAGTTTAAACTACTAAAATTGTTGACTAACTGTACCGTTAGATCATGTTCAATACTGCATACTAAAATGCACAATCCATATAGGACTGCATTATTTGTAATATGTATGTATTATGATTCTCCTATATTAGTATCTGCTAAATTAGGGGTTATGAAAGCCTACTGTTGTTCCTCAACTGGCTTGTGAAGCAGACCCTTCCAACAATGGCTTTCTGACTTATCCTCTTCTTCCATGCTGTCTCGACCGGTAGCTGAGAGCCCTTTAGGAGACCCTGCCAGATGCAGAGGCCTTGTGGGGAGCCAGATTGTGCAACATTAGCCTTGCATTGATCTTGCGTGAACCGCGAGCAACTCGACACATCAGTCGACGAAGTAGGAAGCTTACGAATATGAAGCCTGTATTTCTGAAATCACATACATTCTCATCGTAGCCAACCCCAAATTCATTGGTAAGACTTAGATCATACAAGGTCATATGTGAAAGTTATTTATTTTGACACTAACACAAAATGTACTTTCTAATTTAGTAACTTTTTTCACTTAGAAGTAAGAAAAAGTTATATATCTATACATGTTTAGAAATAAGTTCCCGTGAAAACCTGCAACGTGAAGCAAAATGGAATGAGTTCGATAGTATACCTGCAAATGGCTTTTCACTTCATCATTGGTGAGGCCATCTACTTTCATGAATTCTCTAATTTGCTTTGGTGTAGCCACTGGGAAAAAAATAAACCCACAATTAAAATCTATTAAAAAGACAATTTTGATAGAGAATGCTACTCCAAATTACACAAACTTCTTCCTCCAGCAGTTGTGAGAGAAGATCAATATAAATATTATGAAAATTGATGCCACTCATGCACCATTACATTCATATTTTTCTCCTGGTATTTGATGTAAGGTTTCATGATTTAAAGATAATTTCATACAGATGGTCTAAATTAGAAATCCTGAACTTCGGAATTTCTTGAATTAGCAAAACTTAGGAATACAGAATACCGGGTAGCATGTTTGGTAGGCAACAGTAAGACTATATAAGGGGAAGTCAAAAAACTAAAATCTTATTTATTGGGATCGTCTAATTCAGTGTTGTGCACCAAACATGCCTTTATGGTGTGTTTTTGATACATAATGTTGGCCAAGATGGGAGAGGAAGTGAATGAGATTTTAGTATATTTTTCTTGGTGATATTTTTGTACATACATTAAATTTTATAAACAATCCATTGACATGCATACTTCTCTATTTATTCATAGATTACACTATTTGCAAGCTCCAACAACAACAGAGGTGCAATCAACAAAATTTATATGAAACAAATCACTTAAGACCACAGCGGTAGGAAAAAGAAACAAATTAAAGGCCCTGTTTGAGCCACCTTTTTGTAAAATGTGAAGGAAAAATATAGCCGTCATTGGGGCCCACACAAAAGATAAAAAATTTGAATTTAAATATTGATGTGATGGATAACGGTCATATTTTTCATTTTAATGAGATAAAAAGGTGGCCCAAACGGGAGCAAAATCTTAATTGTTGTATTGTCTAGTCCAATCTCGTATTGCACACCAAACATAACCTTAGAGTATTGAACAGAAACACAACAAAAGTGGACAATGTTTTAATCTATTTTTCTTCCGTATTTATTTCTACATTGCACTACTTGCAAACCCAAACACAGTAGAAGTGCAATCAACAAAATTTCAATGCAAGATTATCGCTTAAAACTGTTAAGAATGAAAAGAAAATTCAAAATCTTATTAATCGTATATTTCATTTATGTCCATCATTGTGCACCAAACATGACCTTAAGACACATTTGGTTACACTTCAGTTTATTTTTCTATTTATATTGCATACCGCTTTTCAATTGTCTCAATCATCTCTTCTAAAAGTTTAAGATTTTAGAGAGAAGTAACATGTATTAATTTAAATAGTGTCTTTAACACATCCACTGGGTTTAGTTTTTGATCTAACATGTGGACATTTTTTCAAAAATGAGCGATGGCGAGACTTGAACACACACACACACACTTTGACGCCACATTAACCATCTCATCTAAAACCATAATCTATTGAAGAGAAGCCATGTGTATTATTTAAATGTTGTCTTCGATGACCCCCAACCCAAAGAAAAGGGTAAAAGGATAACGGTAATCACCTTGTGCACCTCCAAGCTGATGGAGTGCACTGACAAATCTCTTGTGCAACTCAGGGGACCAACACCTCCTCTGTTTCTTCTGCAGTTGGTGCTGCTGCTGTGCCATAAAATTACCTGAAATGGACTGGGATAGACTATGAACTGATATGGTCATCCCCTTCTCTTCTTCGGCTGTTCCTTTACATGGTTTCTGAAATGGAACAAATTTGTTCTCCTTTCCATTGCCATTCTCTTCTCTGTTATATGTCTGCAATCAAATATCACATTATAAAAATAAATAACTATTATTACAATGCCCAAGCATTATTGTTGACTATCTTATCTAAATGCTTATGAAGTCAGAGACGAGACTAATTTATTTGCTTAAATTGTCTTCAACACACCCACACGTATTTTTTTTTCGTTTAAGGTCTAACATGTGTATAAATTTTCATAAATTGGTAATGATATGCCTTGAACTCATTGAGCTTGAAGGTTCCATCTCAAAAGATCAAGCAAATTAAGAGTAGGCAAAGTCCTTATATATTTAATATTATTCATTATTAATCAACTTGGGATTTTACCCTTATCATGCCCTGTGAGGAAGTGGTTCTTTTGAAAATACCAAAGTTTAACATGAGGAGTGGTTGTACTACATTTACATTACAACTTATAGATTTATTTATCAACGGATGATGTAGCGAGATTTGATTGAGATCTCAAATCTCATCAATCAAATGAAATGAAAAACTCTCTCATTTTCTTTTTAATTAATACATCATCAATTTGTAAAAGATTATGTAAATGGTAATGTACAACAAACATTTTTCTAAGAGGAGTATCCCAAGTGAGTTTATTGTTTTTGCATCTTTACTCGCCATTTGAATTCACCCTAAGCATAACCCATGACCTTAACATTATCACTTTGAACCACCTCGTCCTCGTATAAAAGCCTAAACTTGTAGAGAAAATACACATTTATCTGTCTAAATTTTCATTCAATAAATTATTTCTTTAAAAATACAGATTATATGATAGAAATACCAAAAATATAATGAATAATGGAATAAATCTTACTCGTTTTCGGTGCAAAATGGAGTCTTGATTTCTGATATCAAAATTATTCCCATAGTGAACAGGAGTGCTCCACTGCCGAGCAGAACTCATCCAATTCTTCTTGTCAATCACTGGTTCCACATCCTTTCCCTTCCACTGCAATCCCTCCTCCTTCAATCTCTCAATCGCTACAAAAGATCAATAACCCACAAAAATATTAACAAATTTTCGGGAAAAAAGGCATAAAAAATGTAAAAATAAATAAATTATAATTATACCATCCTTTAACAGGCTCATGGAGTGAGGAAGTTCACGCTTGAAAGCATCAATTTTTGTCATTTCTAGTTCTGTTGACCCCAAAAAATGTTGCCAACAGATGCCGGGCCCACTCGTGCACGTGCAAGCCTTTGTCCAACACGCGTGTGCCGAAGAACGGTCAGAAATGCTCCAGAATATGGGAGTGGGAGGGGCTCGCCACACGAGACGTCAGAATTCGGGCCTCCGGCAAGATAGGTAGAACACGATTGTATAAGAAACCAATCGACAAAATATGATTTGTAGTAGAAAATATGTTGTAGGGATCACGAGAGAAAAGTTGCTTCCAGTATATAGTTTTCCCTTTAAAATTGCATCATCCTTTTTGTGTTACATGGTGGGGGTATTTATAGTGTTACAACTCAACTAGTGACCTTTGGATCAATTTACACGTGACCTCATCTCCTTGGCCAAGACATCAAGTCCTAGTCATCTAGTTGACTTCTCTAGCCTATCAAAGCATTTAATATTCTTACATTGACAAGACAAGACACAAGCTACTTTACACCAAGGTCACATCAATCATTCAAATAAAGATCTTCATCATGAACAAATCTCTTCACGTGGGACTAGCTGCTAAAGAGCCTCAGATCCGTAGTGGTGCCTTGAGCCTCGGATAATGCTTGGGCCTCCATTGACAACGTAGCCTCGGAATAAGTCAAGGCCTTTGAATAAGCTCGGGCTTTGGCTAACAGTGATAGCCTCCGAATAATAGGCATTAGCTAACAACATGGCCTCGGAATAAGGGCCTGGGAATAAAGGGTCTCGGAATGCTTGGNGGAATAAAGGGCCTCGGAATGCTTGGGCCTCGGTTGACAACATGGCCTCGGAATAAGGGCCTCGAAATAAAGGGCCTCGGAATATACATCCTGGTTCAATTGGGCTAGTCCCACCGTCCAAATATGGTGCCACGTAGTGCTTTTATTTATGAGTCGTAACAATAGTCCCCCAAGTCCATGTATGATTATTCATGTTATGCGTGGACTTTTAGTAGTCAACGAAGTACCCTCCTTAGGTATCACAAAAAGCTTTAAAATTTTTAATCCACAAGTTCCAATGCATGAACATAAAATTCCAGCTTCGATGATTTCTTGGAAAAATAATCGATGAATGAAACTTCTTTAAGAATTTCAGATATTTTCTTTGTATCAGAATATGAAAACACCTTATTCGAATCATCACCCATTTTCACTCTTTTTTCAAGATTCTCTTTCGAATCTTTTGCCTATTTCTTGTAGATGTATTTGTTTGTGTTTGTGATCTTACATTTCGTTACCCAAATAAACATGCATGGAGATGCCGTGTGTTGGGTGGGGTGGGGTGGGTTGTCTGATTTATGCGCGTTGAAACTTGAAAGGGTGAAAAATGAGAAAGGATAGAGGAAAAAGAAGAAATGAATAGTGGGGACATGTGATCTGATTCTTCCAACAAAAAGATTCGATTGTTTAACAATTTCACACAGTCGGATTCCACGTCGCTTATTTCGGTTTTTTGCACAAAGAATCTTTTTACAGTCCATGTTTGATTAAGCTTGAACAAGTTTACTTATAAGTAGATTTTAAAGATAATTATTATTATTTATTTTTTTGTTGGGAGGAGTTGAAAAGTGAAAACCATCTCGAGAGAGCGCCCAAGACATGGTTTCCATTTCGTCTAACTCATGTTAAATTCTTACTTTTCGGTTAAGAAAATATTTGCACTTGCTCAAAGATTCTCCAAAGGGTAGGCCCATAGAGTACATTTATTGATCGAATTAGTAGTAGCCGAGGACAAAATTGTCTTTTGGATTGGAAATAACAATTTCATAAGCGTGGACTTAATTTGGGATTAAGATCGAATTTGAAAAATTTGATAAGGGAAAATATATCTTATTATTTGATTAAAAGAGAATGGCCTGTCGACACGTTTGGCTGCTACTTATAAGCACCATTATGAAAAAGTAAACATATTTTTGTAAAAGCAGAATTTCATCTTATTTAATTGAAAATTTATTCTTACTAGTTTAGTAAAATATTAAATATATCTAAACTTTCCTACGCGTCAATATATTAAAAAAGAAATCTAAATAAATTTAAGAAATTACAAACTGTTTATTTTTTACAGATAAATACGCATAATGGTAAAGAATATTATAAAAATCAATGTTTATACTTTTAAAATATAATTTTAAAATATAAAAATTGAATCGATTGCGCTTGTGCAGTTCTAAAAATTAGCTGGAAAACTCTAAGCCCGTGATAGGTGGTATCATGGGCTTCCAAGAGCCCCAGCTTACTTTCCGTCTCACAACGGTTCAAACGGGCAGGGCATCCAACCGTGCAGTTATGGAAAAGGGGAAATGGCAACACGAAAATATAAGAACATTGTTGACACCGATCTCCGAGGTCACTTAGTTCGGATTGGTGTACCCAGCAAGGGAACTGGTGTGAGCTCGGATATGCAAGGTGACTGTTGATACCGACCTCCATCACTTAGTTCGGATTGGTGTACCCAGTAAGGGAATACTGGTGTGAGCTAGGATATGCGAGGTCAGTTCGGACATTGAGTAGCTTACTCAAGAAGCTTGTGTAATCCTTCAAGGAAAAATGATGAGTAATGATTAAGAATCACTGACAGGATATATGGGCTACCAATCAGAGGGACACACATGGAAAGGTCTTACATCAGCGCCCACATTATCCTCCAATCAAAAATCTTAGCTTCCCTTCCTAAGTAATGCATTAATTGCTGGGGACCACCCGCACCAGTAACTCGTGATCATACTGACAGAGCCGAGCTCAGCAACCAATCCTATTACGCCAACATATGTACTTATTCAGCTCGGTATTGCAGGTTGACATGACAGGGGGTACACTGTGCATGCATCACCCCACTATAAAAGGAAAATGGGAGGGGACGAGAAAAGGGACTCTGGTCATTCTCTTGAGACTTCAAATATCTCATGTAATAGGAAAAAGAGGATGATGATGTAACAATCTTGTAACCCATTGACAAAAGATCAATCAATTTCGTGTTTATTCCCTAAAGTTGGCTTAGATATTGTCTATACATTTTTCAACGTCAACAGTTTGGTGCTAGAAGGAGGGGCCCAACTTGAAAAATTGCCTCATCTCTTCACAAAATTCATAAAATAGTATCATGGATGAATTTTCAGTATCTGAAAATCAATCTCACACCCGTCCCGAATAGACCAGCGATCCAAGAAATTTTGAAAGACGAGGTCAAAATGAAACTATCCACCCTTAAATGGAGACAATGAAGGAAGCCATTGAGAAATTAACAAACGTTGTCAGCAAGCTAGAACAAAACCAAGCTCGAAATCTGCCACAGGATACCGAGGTGGAATCTCCTCGCCGAGGAAAAACCAGGCGACTTCCCACTACGAGGACCCTACAATTTTCAGGCGAGGAATCCTCCAAAAGTCGAACTGAATGAGTCAAAAGTTCTCCTATGGCAACAAAATCAACAACCAGAAAAACAAATAGCGTGTTCAACAGATTGGGCTCCTAACATTCTCTTACACCTACAAGTAAGCATGACGAGCCCCATAACAACCACCCTGTGGGACGACCGGAGTTCGAGATGAGTGCCCTCAAAAAATGCATAACCGACCTGGAGGCTAAAAATAAAGGAAACACAGAAGAGTATCTTACAAAGCGTCACTCACCTTTTATCGAGGACATCTGGTAGAACCACTGCCTGAAAAGCTGAAGATGCCACAACTGACTGGGTACGATGGGGAAGGAGACCCCTCAGTCATTTGGACAAATATGCCTCTTGGATGGAGCTGCACGTAGCTGGAGACGCCATCATATGCCGTGCTTTCCCTCTAACCTTAGGAGATAAAGCTTAGTGATGGTTTAGAAAGTTGCATCAAAGATCTATAAAAAGTTGGAATGACCTCGCCACAGCGTTTCTTGCCCAGTTCATGGGATCAAAGGAGAGGACTACACCAAAGGAGAGATTGGTAAGCATCAAACAAGGAAAAACTGAATTGGTCAAGAGCTATTTGAACATGTTTAACAAGCAATCTATGGAGGTGGAGAAGATCTCAGACGACGATGCACTAATGGCGGTCCTTTCAAGCCTGAGGCCAAAAACAAGATTCTGGTGGTCTGTTCACGAAGATGGACCTCGGACATACCATGAGCTCTTGGGTCGAGCTAAGAAATATATAAGTGCGGAGGAAGCAGCATCAGACCAGGAGGATACTAAACAGTGCCCTCAATTCCCACAATGAACTAAGGGAAAGCAAACAGATAAGGACTCGGGTCGGGAAAAAAGAAAGGATAGAAGGGATCAAGGTCGCTCTAGACCGTATCCCGATAAATTTCGCGAGTATCAACCCTTGAACGCAACCTTGGAAGAAGTCTTTCTACAGACTGAGAAAAAAGAAGCCTTTCACCGACCTCCACCCCAAGGGAAAGAAGTAACTGGGAAAAATCAAGGAAAGTACTGTCGTTATCACAGAACGACAGGGCACAATATAGACAACTGCAGAAATCTAAAGGAAGAGGTGGAGTTACTTATCCGGTGAGGTCACCTGCAGGAATTTGTAGCTAAACCTCGAGAGGCAAATCCAACTGGGTTCCAACAGGCTAATCCGCAAGGGGTAGCTCAACAAGCTCGGCCCGAATCCCAAGCTCGAGACCCACAACCTCATGCCGAGATCCAAACATTGATGAGTGGGAATCACTGCCTTCAAGGTTCACAAAGGACTAGGCGCAGATTGGCACGTAATGCCCGTGTTTGGCAAACTACAGTGTAATGTGTCCAGAGTCGGAGGCTGTCACTCACCGCACTCAGAACATTTCGGATTTTCGAAAAATGACGCACAGGGAATCTTGAAAGATCAAAGTGATGTGCTAGTCATAGCCATGAATGTGGAAGGGGTACAAATACATCGAACTTTGGTAGACAATGAAAGTTCGGTAAACGTACTATACTCTTGAACTCTGTTTTGAACTCTCTGAGAACTTGTA